AGTTAAACTTCATCAGTTGCTAAGATTTTGGAAAAGGCGAGTAGCTTTTTTCTGACCCATCAAAGCTCTAACTCAGAAAAATAGTTAAATAGAATTACCAACAATTTTCCTTCCTACTTCCAGTTAGTTTCAAAAAAGTATAGAATGAGCTCAAAATATGTTTAAGAGCTTATTTCATGATTTCAACTATAAAGATTCGAGGCTGGCAATCATTAGTGAAGAAGAAATTAGATGTATCAAGGCTAATTTAAACGACATATCACAATTAATTCACTAGAAAAATACAGACAATGACCAAATATTTAAGTATGGATTTCCCAAAGTAAGCTATTGTGTTCTATAAGTAACTATAATCTTTTTAGACTGAACGCACGAAGTGCCTTTCACTGCTGCTATTTTGTCTTATAAAATTACAATTAATCCTTTGAGGCCGAGAGTTGCTTAAACAAAATTACCGGCTCATCAATATTATACAACTACAAACTTGTTGCAAATAATAGATAAATAACCGAATTATTTGCATATGTATTTTCTGTTATTATTTAGTTAGAGGAATTTAGTTCGCTTCTTATTGCCAAGTTTTCATTCCAGTTTGCATTGACTTCATCAAAGTTTATTTTATTTATTTTGATGACGACGTTTTTGCTTCTCAGCACGTGTCAAATGAAATAAGCGTATCTAAATAACTGTTCATCAATATACGGCGCTTGCATGCTAAACAAACCGAGTGAGTTGAGACAAAAATAGTCTTCAGACTAAAAATTCTTCTCATATAAATTTGTGATTAAATACATATTTATATAAGTGAATAAGTGTGTGTGTTAACTAAGTGAGGAACTCTAAACTAAAAAATTGAACAAGTTACTAACAATTGCTGACTGAATTCGAATTAGTGCAACAAATACTAATTTATAACTAAACTCTTTATTGCCGAAAATAACTACACCGAAATGGACCAGTCTTGTAAAAAATAAGACAAATTATAAATTAATTATTATAATCTTGCAACCAGTTGCTACAGAGTTTTGTTTACCTAACGGTTGTACGTATCACCTAATAAACTAATCGTGATAGATATATGATGACATTGACATAGTTCAGCGAATTAAAAGACAGCGGCTACGCTGACTAGGTCATGTTGTCCGGATGGACGAAAACGCTCCAGCTCTGAAAGTATTCGACGCAGTACCCGCCGGGGGAAGCAGAGGAAGAGGAAGACCTCCACTCCGTTGGACCAAGGACCAAGTGGAGAAGGACCTGGCTTCACTTGGAATATCTAATTGGCGCCACGTAGCGAAAAGAAGAAACGACTGGCGCGCTGTTGTTAACTCGGCTATAATCGCGTAAGCGGTGTCTTCGCCAATCAAGAAGAAGAAGAAGATATATATACGGTAATATATCTCTATATATAAAAATCTTCTGACCGTGTGTTTGTAAATGAACTGCTCCTAAACGGCTGAGCCGATTTTGATGAAATTTTTTTCGTGCGTTCAAGGAGATTCGAAAATGGTTTAGATTCACAATTTGATCCACTGGCAAATGTTTTTTGAAACTAATTTTTCATTTTTAACTACTTGGAAATTTTGGAATGTTTTACATTGGATCCGATAGACTGCTCCGATGGTAGAGCAATATTCAAACCTTAAAAGGCGACATCTGTAGACCAACAGCAAGTTTTCATAATGTGGACAGAGTTTTTCGTTCTTAAGTAATAAATTGGGTGATTCAGTACATCTATGGGTAGCCATTACATTTTTTTCATACCTACTAACTATTGGGAGAACAAGAATGCTATAACAAGCGTCCTTAATACTTTGTTAGATTATGGGCGAAGGACGCAAATGCAAATAACAAACCAACCGCGATATCTAGAATATAAATAATCGGGATGATGAGAAAAGCTGAAATCCAGTTGACTGTCTGCCTGTCCGTCCGTTCATCCGCGCAAGCTGTAACTTGAGTAAAAATTGAGATATCTCGGTGAAACTTTGTACGTGAGAACCAAGAACGGATAAGAACTTCTACCGACAGTGTGAAGATGAATGAAATCGGAGGATAACCCCGCTCGCCATATAACGGTAATGTTAAAAACTACTGATAGCGCAATAAATCAATAACTAAATACACCAGAGACATTAAATTTTACCTTCGAGACGGTATGAGAGGAATTTATAGGAGCCCGACCGCAAACTTTTTGTTGAAACTACATATCTCGGGACCTGACCGACTGATTTTGAGAAAATTCGATACATAGCATTTCTATCATATTCCTATATCATAGTGCGAAAATGGGTAAAATTGAACTACAACTACTCCTGCTTCCCACATAACACAATTTTAAATTCCACTAGACACTTTCACTTTCCAGTACATAAATCAAGAAGTTAAAACTCGCGCAGTTAAAACTTTGCGCAGTCATCGCAAAGAACAAAACTGGTCTATGCGTGGCTCATTGGCCTACCAAACTAACCTAATATAAACTAAGCTGTTTAACAAATCCTCAAATAGAGAAAATTCTGCTTGAATAATATCTTAGGGGATAAATCGATCTCCAAACTTTACCGCACAGTTCTTGATGTGCAATTTGCCTTTAGCTTCAAAATGGCCCTCAGTGTCAATTTAGTTTTAAAGTATAAATAAGTATAAATAATAAGAATAAGATTCATTGCGTAAATTAACCACACATTGATAATGTAATTATTTAACTTCGATTTTACTTACAGCTCAGTATAATTGCCTGACACCGAATTATTATGGTTACTGCGTGCTATTACAATATTGTCCACAAATAGCGAACGTTTTCAATATACGCAATCGCAATCAAGCCGAGCGCTATATTATAGCTTCACAACGCTCGTGTGGAACACGAAATGTCAATGGTGATCCAGTGGTAAGTTAAATAATATCAATTTAAACACAGTAGATATTCTAAAATGATCACTCAAACTATTTAGGTTTGCTGTTCACGACCAGTAAATCCAGCGCCACAGCCGCAGCCACAGCCTCGACCACAACCCCAGCCTCAGATACGACCGCAACTATTACCACAGCCTAGACCGCAACCGCAACCGCAACCATTACCACAACCAAGACCGCAACCGCAACCGCTACCACAACCTGAACCACAAATACGCCCACAGCCTTCCACTGAAAGTCCAACGAATCCTTTTCTGCCACAAACTACATCTTCACCAAACATAATTCAACCGAGACCACCGCCAAACCAAGGTCAACATTTTACCTCAACGGCGCGTCCCACAACAGCGCCCATTCTAAGCCCCACGACTGCACCCGTAGAAATCGGCGAACGTTTGACAGGCGACTCTTGTGTGGATCCGAAGCTGAGACGCGGTGTTTGTGTTGGTAAGTACCTNAAAGCTCTAACTCAGAAAAATAGTTAAATAGAATTACCAACAATTTTCCTTCCTACTTCCAGTTAGTTTCAAAAAAGTATAGAATGAGCTCAAAATATATTTAAAAGTTTTTCATGCCTTCACCTTTAAATATTTTGGGGCTTTTCCCAGTTAAGCAATCATTAGTGAAGAAGAAATTACATGTTACAAGACTGATTTAACTAGTTTTAACATGCCACAACATATCATAGTATTACTCAGGAAAAATACAGACAATTTCTATATATTAAAGTCCCCATCTGCCAATGTGATTAGTGTGTTCTAAAACCACCTTTCACTGCTGCAGTTTTGTCTTGTATCCTTATGATTACATTTAATCTTCTGAGGCCGAGAGCCGCTTAAAAAAATTACCGGCTCATCAATATTATATAAACCTGTTGCGTATTTGTATATACGTATGTAAATACACTTGTTTAGCAGGTGTGCGCGTCATTTTAAAAAATTTTATAGAGTATTTCGTATGCAAGTTCACTTAACCAGTTAGTGGACGGTACTAGCCGACTTCAAGGTTACGAATTTGGAGCTTGCAAAAAACAAAAATAATAATAAAAAAAATGCAATGAAAAAGAAAAAAAAAAAATCCACAAATGAAGATAATACTTTTAACAGCCATGACAGTGAATTAAAAATGTGAGAATATAAAATACAAAAAAAAAAAAACAAAAATAAATACAGAAAACTTGAAAAGTAATAACTAAGTGCTAATGAAGATGACAACAGTTAAAATTCGTTAGAAATCCACCAAAAATAAAAAAATAGAAAACGTTTTAAAAAACTGAAATGTCTTGAGTCGGAATGGTTACACTTATACGCAATATTTGCATAAGCACTTGGTATTTTTAAAAATTAAGCACCCATGTAGGACAACAAATATGACATACGTGATGAGAAATAACAGACAAATATATACATCTCATTTACTATTTTTGCATTTGGTCCACTTCTGATTGTCAAGTTTTCATTCCACTTTAGAGACTTCATCAAGGTTTGTTTTATTTATTTTGATGACGCCGTCTTCGCTTTTCAGCACGTGTCAAATGAATCAAGCATATCTAAATAAATAACTGTTCACAAATATAAAGCGCTCTCACGTTAACAAACACACTTTGAGTGAGTTGAGACAATATAAATTATTGACTAGAAATTCTTCTCATATTAAATTGTGATTAAATACATATTTATGTGAGTGTGTGTTTATTATATGAGGAACGCTAGACTGGAAAATTGAACAAATGAACCAATAATAATTGACTGAATTCGAACTAGTTCAAAAAATACTAGTTTATAACTATATTTTTTTTTTTGTCGAAAATAACCACACCGAAAAGGACAGTCTTGCAAAAAATAATAAAATTTATATAATTAATAATGAATTATTTTATTTAATTTTCGAGTAAGTAGACGACTTTAAACGTGAGCTGTAGCTGCACAGCACCATGATTTAGGACCGATTTTTCATTATAAAATTTTTTAAAATAAATTATCTGCTATTTTTTCGAAGCAAATATTTTTTTTCAAATTTTTATAAAGTGGCCACTATTATATGTAAATCTGACGTAAATGTGAAGATAGAATGATATCTGACAAAGCTTTCTTGTTAAATGAATGTAATTCCGAAAATTAGCCGAGTAGGCGTTCGTATATAAAAATTTCAATATCTTTTTTTTTACACTCCAATATTTGTTTTACTTGGTGGTGACACACAGAATGGGGCTGGCAGATCGAAAAGATGGCAGGAAATGTCTAGAGCAAGGCACCGGGAAAACAATGAAGCACATATTACGCACATATCTCGCATTGGCAAGACTACGCTGTTAGCAACGGGGGTCTCCACAGTATGAGGTGCTGGAGGAAGTATCGATAGTGCGGTCACAGAGTCTGTTAACGTTCGCGTCAAGCATAGGCAACCTAAAGAATGACTACTCCTTACGGACTTAGTATCTGAACTCCATATGGTATCGCAGAGGACAAAACTGGTACCAAACTAACCTAACCTAACCAAACTTGTTTATCAAAGCCTTAAATAGATAAAGTTCTGCTTGCCTAATCTTAGGGCATTAATCGATCTCCAAACTTTACCGCACAGTTCTTGAAATGGGAATCAGTGTCACTGTAGTTCAATTTTAAAATAACTAAAATAATAAGAATGATTCACTGCGTAAATTGACCACCCATTGATAAAGTAATTATTTAACTACGGTTCTACTTACAGCTCAGTACAACTGCGTGACACCAGAAAATTATTATGGTTACTGCGTGCTATTACAATATTGTCCACAAATAGCGAACGTTTTCAATATACGCAATCGCAATCAAGCCGAGCGCTATATTATAGCTTCACAACGCTCGTGTGGAACACGAAATGTCAATGGTGATCCAGTGGTAAGTTAAATAATATCAATTCAAACACAGTAGATATTTTAAAATGATTCTGATCACTCAAACTATTTAGGTTTGCTGTTCACGACCAGTAAATCCAGCGCCACAGCCGCAGCCACAGCCTCGACCACAACCACAGCCTCAGATACGACCGCAACYATTACCACAGCCTAGACCGCAACCGCAACCGCAACCATTACCACAACCAAGACCGCAACCGCAACCGCTACCACAACCTGAACCACAAATACGCCCACAGCCTTCCACTGAAAGTCCAACGAATCCCTTTCTGCCACAAACTACATCTTCACCAAACATAATTCAACCGAGACCACCGCCAAACCAAGGTCAACATTTTACCTCAACGGYGCGTCCCACAACAGCGCCCATTCTAAGYCCCACGACTGCACCCGTAGAAATCGGCGAACGTTTGACAGGCGACTCTTGTGTGGATCCGAAGCTGAGACGCGGTGTTTGTGTTGGTAAGTACCTAAAATATCTATGGTTTTATATACTACCAAAAGCACTAGTAAGAAGTCGTAAAATGTAACGTTTTTTTCTTACTCAGCCATTGCCAAGTGCAGCCAACTGGTTACAGAGCTTTACGCCAAGTCAAATGATCCCGAGTTTGCCGACTTCCTGCGTGCTTCGAATCGCAATTGTGGCGGCATTGCGTCCGTGGCATGTTGTCCTACCAGCGATAATGTTATTAAGGATCCGACAGTCATAGTGGTCAACAGCGATGACATACCCACACGACCACCCACATTGGAGGAGGGTTGCGGCTACACACACAACACCTACAAGAAAATTGTTGGCGGTGAAGTGAGTAAGAAGGGAGCTTGGCCATGGGCTGTGCTCTTGGCCTATCCCGACGGTTCAGCGAGTTCGCCATTCAAGTGTGGTGGCACCTTGGTGACGGCGCGACACATCGTTACAGCGGCGCATTGCATACGTGATGATCTGTAAGCGGTCAAATTGACTTGTATTTAATACTTATCTTTAATATGTTCTTATTTTATTGCAGTGCCTATGTGCGTTTGGGTGAACACGATCTGAGTACCGACACGGAAACACGTCACGAAGATGTCAACATTGTGCGGGTAAGTGTATTTGTTGGCAATACCATTGAAGTTTTCTTAAAAGAACCCTTAATTCCTCCCACGAGCAGAAAGAAGCCCATCCACAGTACAACAGACGCAATGGCAAGAACGATGTGGCAGTACTGTGGCTAGAGCGYAACGTAAAATTCAGAGAGACGATTTCACCGATTTGCCTGCCCACCGCATTRSCGATACGCCAAAAGTCCTATGTCTCTTACACGCCCTTCGTCGTGGGCTGGGGCAAAACTATGGAGGGTGGCGTCTCGTCGAATGTCTTGCAGGAATTGCAAATACCAATCTTCAAGAATGATGTCTGTGAACGTAGTTACAAGAACATCAATCGTCTGGTGTCTGCTGACCARTTCGATGATGGTGTGCTGTGCGCAGGCGTGCTATCAGGCGGTAAGGATACGTGCCAAGGTGACTCGGGCGGTCCACTGATGATACCGGAGGTGAATTGAAATAAAAAAAAAAAATACAATAAAAGATATATGTTAAATTTTTTTGCAGTCTTACAACAACAATGTGCGCTATTACCTGATCGGTGTAGTCTCATATGGCGTGGGTTGCGCGCGTCCCGAAGTCCCAGGCGTTTACTCCAGTGTGCAGCACTATGTCGACTGGATTTTGGAGAAGATAGCCGATACACCTTGAGATTCCTTTTTTTAATTTATGCTTAAAATACATACTTTTAATACTTAATACACAACCAAGTGCTGCAGTTTTTTAACGTTTACAAAGTGATTTGGCTTTTTTTTTTTTAATAAAAAATAATTACGAAAATAAAATTAAAACTAATTTTTGTTTAATATTCAATGCGGCTTTATGACAACTGCCAAATGTTTCACCTTGAAACGATTTATTTATAAAARTTTGGGTTCTAGAAGCGAGCGCATAAGCAAACATCDTCAGGCATTTCTTATTTTCTTGCTTTGTGTGCCAAGCACGTTCTAAAATTTGTAAACCCTGACTACTTTTTTGTGGTTTTGTGCATATTAAGAATGTTGGTTGTACTTAATTAACGCAATAAAATGATTTGTTGCAGTTTTATTTTATATATGTGTATATTTACATGGTAGGCGTGGTTGCTAATGATGTGATCATTTCACTAATGGAAGTTTGTATAAATTAATGAAAAGTGAATGGGTGAAAGATTTAGAAAAGAAAATGTTCACGAAAGCGTTCATGAAATAAATTTAAATAAAATCTCTTGATGCAAACAATTACAGGCCTTTGGGTAAAACATTTACGTTGATGAGTAAATTTTTAGGCAAGTTCGTGTCTTAAGTCTTTTGTTCGAAGTTTATTTCTTGGAACTACAGTACTCGTCCATTAAATTACGAACGAGAGCATAAAGCTTAAAATAAAGGTGGCGCGACAAAATATTGAATATGATTGATTACAAAAATATAATAATTTCGGTTTAATGTATATAGCATATAAAAAATAATTGTTTTCTAAAATACGCCAAATATTTATGTTTTTATTAATGATTAAAGTTACAACTCTGCATATTTTTTCTTCGTTCGTAATTTATTGAACAAGTACTGTAAGTCATTTATATTCTGCAGCAACAATGCTTGACGAAAACCATTAGCATCGTTAAAATGATGTTTTAAGATAAATAATTAATAAAAAAAATATTTGAAATTTCATTAATTAAATTAAGAATTGAGAAAAGCTTCCAAGCACATGCGTTTCATAATACATAATACAGCAGTATTTTTAAGGAAATCGTGGTGAAGCCGTTTAACTCGATTTTTTGCCATGCTGTTCTGTTGGAATTTCTGTCTGAGTATTATATTTCGTGAGAAAGTGGCATTTAGTGTAATATTTTATATCTCTCTATCAAAAGTATCGATTACAATGGTTCGTCTATTTCCAACTCTTCAAACGTTGCATACTTTCCAGCGTAAAGAGAGGGATTAACACACATTAGCAAATATTCTACGTACCCACGCACATACATGTGCACTTAATTGTTAACACATTTGCTTAAGGAAATATATCCATTTAACCGTTTAACGCCACCGCAGGTGCTAAACATTCATTTCAGTGTGAGTAAGTCACTCTAAAAAGTGAGCTGAGAGACTGCCTTAAACAATTGCATTGGTTTGTGGGAATCACCTCTTCTGACTTAAGCCAAATAGCAAACAATATAAGAAAACCGGCTGAGATTTCGTTTTCGAAGCATAAATATAATAATATTGCTCAACTTCTCAAACTGGTACAGGTAAATAGGCGTCTGTATGTATGTGGGTTGCTAATAGCTTTGCTTTGCGTTGACAATCATTTTTGGAAACAGTTGCGAATTCAAAGCGACCGCGTTCAAAAGGGCGCAACAAACGCGCGTAGTAAACCGTGAGTGAAGGCAACAAAATGTTTCGATTATAAAATAAAGACGAACTAATAAAATTTTGAAATTAAAATTTGTGCACTTTGATGATTGCATCGATAGAGTATTTTATGGATTACACATAACAAAACAAAACAAAAAACAATATTTCGAAAATTTGAAATTTGAATTAAATTAAAATTAGATATTTGTTGAAGTTAAGAAAAGTTGTTGTGTTTTTGAAGAAGTGAAAGAGTGAAAAGAATGAAATTCACTTTGGCGTTACTTGTTGTGTGCTCACTGAAAATAATATCAATTATAGGTACGCATTGAAAAATGTATAAATAAATAATTTTATAATAGTAGTAGTTAATTAAGAAAACAATATAACAGCTTAAAAAAATATCTGCATAATAAATGTTTCAGAAACAAGTTTAATATATATTCGAAAGCTATATTTAAATCAGTTTAATAAAATGGCTAATAAAACTTTGTATAACTTGAAAATATGCTTATTAAGGCAAATATATTTAAAATGTGCAAGATTGTGTAATTTCCCAGCAAAGTTGTTGTATAGCAAAGACACTTTTTTATTTTTTATTTTTTTTGCATATTTACATATAAAAAAATTTTGAAGTTTTTTTTTATGTTTTGCCTGATACTTTATTTTAAAACAAGAAAAGCATTAACTTCGGCTGCACCAAATAGCACCCTTTAATAGGTACGAAAGGTCCGAATCAAATTACTCAATCCATATTTAGGAAATAATTTCGAAAAAAAGTTTTTTTTTTACCTTAAAAACCTTGATGATAAGAGAGCTCGACATCTCTTGCGAGTTTGTTCGAATGATTTTCGTGGTTATTTTGGTTATGAAACGTGTTTATTTCGTGTTTTTTTTTCAAACCAACCACCGTATTCATCAGATTTGACTCCTTGTTGCTCACACTGAAATTGCGGCTGCGTGGAACGCATAAACGGCATATATTACGGTATTATAGAATGTAAATGGGCAAATCAGCATAGTAACAGGACTAGAGAAACTGTTACTGAGTGAGGTCTGATCGTATTCTGCGAACAAAGTGAAGAGAGGCAGGAACCGTTAGCTACATTTAGAGCAATGAAGGGGTGCGCATATAATTAGGCGCTATATCCTCGCAGAATCAGTTCAAGAAGTGATCTTGATAGGATCAGAACTTCCTCTGCTCGTAAAATAAAAATAAAAAGTGAAATTATCGTGCTATAATAAAGTGTAAAGTGTCAAGTGATACAACAATATGAAATCGTCTACGAACGAAATCCGCGACATATACTACATAACGATCAATATGTTTCCTAAAAGACTGATTTTTTTCAGTTAAACATACATATATACTATATTTGTATGTGCTAGGTCAATATGCCTCGATTTGAAGTTGAGAAGAAGCTAAATGGTGATCATTCTTCTCCTACCATCATTACCCATATAATAATAAATAACCAATATATGTATGCCGCTGGTAGAGAATTTCTCTAAAATTAGTTAGAGATGTGGTCATATACACCCTGCAAGAGTAACTGGTACAAATATTTATATACATTTTCAACATTTCCTGGAGACCTAGGAGAATAGTTTTAAATAAAATATGTGAAACCGGATTATATAACAACCATACCTTCATCCTATTTTTTACCAATTTGCTGTTTTAATTAATATTTCTAACGCATATACATATATATTTCTTCTAATAACTAAGCGTTACAAAATTGGTGTTTGAGTTGAAAGTGAGATTTCACCACACACCACAGGGGGACTATTTCTTTCCATACATTTCGCTATATATATAAACATATATACGATTATGTTCCGGTTTCACTTATTTTAATTAAAACCAGCCTGGAGGAAATGTTCTATAAAAAATTCGGTAAGTAATAAGATAAAAGCAAATGCGAGTGAGAAAGTTCGAAAGTTTGTCAATTTTCTGTGGCCCACTCGGAAATTTATAAATTAATAACTAAAGAGCTTAGTGTGAATTTTGAATAAAAATAACTGAATAAAAAAAGTTCCAAATTGCAAAGGAATATTTATTTATAAAAATACATATTTTTATAAAAATTTTCCTTGGAAAGTTGAGAAATGATCATGAACATTAGGCAATTTATTTTTATAAGGAAATAATATTTTTTTTTTTGAGTACGCAAATGTTTACAGGTACAAATTAAAATAACTTAAAATGTTTCCTCAAAGAACACAAAAAAAAAAATATATTTCGCACGAAATGAATTCGAAGTTGAAAGTAAATTTTGAATGGAATAACCCATATACCTGCTCCTGCGAGCATTTGCGATTTCGACTCAGTCACAGCTACATTCTGACTTCGAAGCTGGACACTGGGGAATGCACAAGTCATTTGTCAGGTATTAGGCTGTTGGAATCACACACTTCTGCTAAATTTTCGTAATCTCAACTTTCCCCACAGTTACATATGTATATAATACGATGTTTACCACCGTTTGCTATTAGTTAATTCGCTGCTTAAGCTAAATACTTACACTTAAACGTTCTGCTTCATTTGCTCAGCAATTAAGATATTTACACACACTTCATAATACTTAACGCCCATTAAACGTTTCTTTTTATAATGAACTGAATTAAAAGGTTTCAAATGAAATGGGTTTCTTCTAATAACTAAGCGTTACAAAATTGGTGTTTCAGTTGAAAATGAGATTTCACCATACCTTCATTATTTCTTTCCATTCATTCCACTCCATCTCCTTTTGAATACTTTCCAGGTAGTAATATTACATATTAAAACTTTGCAAAAACTTAAATAGATTCCGTGTTATTGTTGCTTTTTACAAAATCGTAATTGAATCATAAGCAATTTCATAATCTGTTTTAATTAATTTACGAGAATTTGATATAATGAAGAGTTTAAAGAATCAGTTTCTGGAACATATTCTTATTAAATGAGAATTACTTATTTCATAATTCTAAGAATGTCTTTAGTCCTAAACAACAACAATAACAAAATTAACAAAAAATTGTTTTAAGTGACAACTTACTTTGTGAACTAATTGCTGCAAAGAGACCTCTTTATGGCTCTATTGGACACTAGTCAGGTTTGGGCGTTATTGTTAATTTGATTTCTTCTATGGATTCGCGGATTACTTTTTTCATATCGCTGAATTTCTCCAATTCATCTTTGTTACAATAATTTCCCTGTCAAGGAGAATTGGTTTTAAATTATCACCGAAGAAAATGACCACAGACTATTGCGTATTTGGTCGTGATAAGTTAAGCGGTTACTAAAGCATATATGAAATGAAAAACTATCACCTTAGAGTTTATCCTTTTTTCTTTTCCTCGCAAACTCGCTTAAAAAATATCTAAGTGATTTAACACTAATACTATATAATGAATGAGTATGATATTCATCCAGAAACTGAAGTTGAGGAATTGTTGAAGAAACAAAAGATATTTCAAGATATATGTCTGTAATCGAAACGAATTCATGGATGCTGTAGGTTTTCTGGAAAAACTTATTATTATCCCGTATTTTATTTACGGAGCATATGAACTCTCTATTCTACAACCTTATATCTTCTATAGTGGGGATATCCCATACACTATTCCTAAACTTCTTTATCATGCCCCTATGCTCTTTTCCTACTAAGTCGTTTTACTTCTCCCTGGTACTTTAAGTCAAAAGAAACGTCTGGTGCTAGAAATAATTTTTTTAGTCTAACCTAACATTCAACTATTTACGTTTTTATTTCAGCTCAGTACAACTGTGTGAGCCCAGATAATTATTATGGCCAGTGCGTTGCCTTCAATTCTTGCCCACAGATGGTGAATGCTCAGAGAGCGCGTAATCAGCAATATGTGGCAGCTGCACAACGAGCGTGTGATGGCAAGTCAGTTAGTACTCGATAAACAAACACCMTCTCCAGCTATATATATATATTATTAACAAAAAACATTTTGCCTAGTTTTGTTGCGCGCAGCCACGTCCAGTGTCACAACGACTGACTAGCCCTTTCGCAGCTCAACCGCAACAAAGTCGACGTGTGCCTGCACCAAATACGCTACAAGTACGGCGAGCTGTCGCAGCACAGCCTAAACAACAACCACAGCAACAACCGCATCAACAGCGAATAATACGCCAGCAGCCAATAATTGATTTTCGTAACATTTTCGATGGGAATGAATATAGCCAAGCTCCTACAGCGTTTGTGGATTTTAGAGCTGGACAATTCTGTAATACTCCCGACAATGCAGAAGGAGCTTGTGTGGGTAGGCGCAACCAATGTTAAATAAGACAATAAAATTTATAAATTTTAAATTTATTTCAGAAATCAACGATTGCCAAGTGTTGTTGGGTCAGTTGTATCAACGTTATACAGATACTAACTTCGTACAATATTTACGCGCCTCGAATAGAAATTGTGGCGGTAGCTCGCATAGCGTCTGCTGCCCTGGTGGCGCACAGCCTTCACGTCCGGCGCCCAGTCAAGTAAGCTCTGCAGGTACTTGTGGCGTGGTGTTGCGTACGTTTAAGAAGATTGTTGGTGGTAAAGTGAGTGGCAAAAGTGATTGGCCATGGATGGCTTTACTAGCATATCCGGATGTGGATCCCAGCTCGCCATTCAAATGCGGCGGGACTTTAGTGTCCTCTCGACATGTTGTAACGGCGGCACATTGTATACGAAGCGATTTGTGAGTTCGAAAGTATTTTATTTATGTGGAATATATATATAGTATATATACAATAGAGATTTTTAATATATTATCTATTATGAATATGTTACAAGCAGAAAACTTATATTTTTACCATATGATCAAATATTTTCTATGAAAATTAGTCCTAAGATTACTCTTCAGTTCTTAACACTTACATCTCTGTCAATTTAGTTCAAGCAATAATGTATAGCTACTAAAAAGCTCTGGTCTGATGATGAGCGAAGTCAAATCAATCAATCAATTCAATTCATAGACATCTTAATTACAGCTTATAAGAATGTAGATGTACGCTTGATTACATTTGAGCAATAGTATTAAGATTTTTGTTGCCATTAAGTTGCTTAATTGAATTTGCATATTAATGGTATTCTCTTAGATGATTGATTAATGCGCGAAATGATTTTACCGACTATGGAAATTTAAAGAAAGTATTCATTTATTCATATTGCACAAAAGGTCATTATTTTATTTCATCAATTAACTGCTTTTTTGTTTTGTTTTCATGTGTGTGTATTTTAGAAGCTACGTTCGTCTTGGCGAATACGATCTAAGCACTGATACAGAAACTCAGCATCAGGATATAAGTGTACTGAAGGTGAGTAGCATTACTTTTATTTTATGACACTAAGCATCTACTAAATAATAACTGTTTTCTGGCCTTCATATATTCGAAACGCTGAATATTGTAATTAAAATCATAGTATTAAAAAAAAAAAATAATAAATTTGAAATTTACATATCTCATATTCTTATCATTAACTTTACATAGTCTTTATACGATGCTGCCACACATAGATCCACTACCATTATCTACTTCATTGCCTTTTACATTTCGGAATTTGGCAACGCTAGTGTTGCAATCTGGTAACTCACAACTTTATCGTAAAGTTTGACATTCTTGACGTTCTGCATAATCAGAACGTTTTGACATACGACGCTATTTATATTATTTACAGTTACTTAAAATATTCATCTCTGCCAAAGTTTGAATTTAATCGCCAACTTTTTCGCGCGATTATTTTTCACAACTTTCGACGTGGGTAACTTGGAAACAGTGCAACGATGAACTTCATTAAACTTTTGGCGATAAAGCTGCACCGAGGGCCAGTGTTCATCGATGGTATGGTGAAACCAATCGTGGTCGTAGATCACTCTTAAACAAATTTCGTGAAGGTCGTCCAAAATCAGTTCTTGTTCCGGAAACTTTTGATACTGTGCGCAAACTTACTTATCAAGACTGTCATATGGCCTATCGTATGATTCAGACAACTATAGGCTTTAGTGGAATTATATTGCAGAAACATTTTATTGTAGAAAAAAATTTCACGTGGGATCCCACACAATATCTTGATCGCTCAGAAAAGGTTGGTGTCGATTGTTCGAAAGAAATGTCAAAAGAATACAATTACTGTTCTTCGAAATATCTCTATGGCAACGTGGCTGATGGGAAATGATGGATTTATACGAATGAGTCCGAAAGTAAACAGCAGTCTACCCTTTGGGTGTTTCACAATGTGCCTAATCTAACCAAAACTGTTCGACTATGAAGTACCTTCAAGCAAATTGATGCTTGGTTTTTGGAGAAACTGAACATTTCGCAATCATACCACTGGAACAACCCAGAAAAGTAAATTCTGAGTGGTATATAACCTTTTGCTTGCCAATTATCTTTCAAGAAATCAGGGAAACCAGGCATAGAAGACGGAGCACTCTTCGCCACGGCAAAGCGAGCTCTCACACATCGACTGAAACAATTGCATAGCAATCCACCATAAAGTCTTAATGTGGCACCGATTAACTTTTTTCATCCTCGTTCGTAAAAAAATAAATGAAAATCAACGTTTTTCGACACCTCAAGAGGAGGAGTCAAAAGGCATGTTTTGGAGATCAAATCAATCAGAGTGGCAAAATTGTGTTTTGGTTCAAACGCATGCGAAATTATATCTAAATGTAGATCGCAATGGAGAATATTTCGTAAAACATTAAATCAACTTTTTGATGTTTAATATTTGTTTTCCTTCTCTTATCCTTAAATATAAAGGGCAATCTACGTAAATATGATATGTCTTATGTTAATAATTCTCCTCCGGCACGATTTAGTGGCTTAAAGTAACATATACATTTTAAACTAATTTTTATATTATATATTAAAAATTCACATCGTAATAATAAAATAGAATAAATAACACCCAAATTCATCACTTTATTCTTCTTACATTCATCGACAGCAAGAAAAACATCCCAGTTATAACACCGCTAATGGACGTAATGACATCGGTATAGTCTGGTTGCAACGTGCCGTACAATTCACCAGTAAGTTTCAGCACACCAACCAAGCTCAGCGTTTTTCTTGACTTTATATATAATACTAAATTATTGTCCATCTATTTCTTTATCTAGACAGCATTAAACCCATTTGCTTGCCCAGCTCACAGCAGTTGCGCAGCAAATCCTATTTAAATTACACACCTTTCGTAGCAGGTTGGGGCAAAACCATGGAAGGCGGTACCTCGGCGAATGTCTTGCAGGAGTTGCAAATACCAGTATTAGATAACAACGTTTGTCGTGAGAGTTATCAGCGTGCGAATCGTCTAATCACAGCCGACCAATTCGACACTGGCGTGATATGCGCTGGCGTGCTATCCGGCGGCAAGGATACCTGCCAAGGTGACTCGGGAGGACCCCTGATGATACCGGAGGTAAAGAAAATACTTCATTGAAACTAATATAATTTATTGATTGTTGTTTTTAATGTTTTTATTTTAATTTTTCGGTTAGACCGTTGGTAGCAGCATACAATTCTATCTGATTGGCGTCGTCTCGTACGGTGTGGGCTGTGCGCGTCCACAAATCCCCGGCGTTTATACGAGTGTACAATATTTTGTGGATTGGATTTTTAGCGAAAATTGCTACTTAGCGTTGTAATTAGTAACTAAGTCAACACTTTTGAATTGTAATAAAATAGTATTTATATTAAAGAGCTGGAATTTTTTATCATAGATGGTATGCCTAGCTAAAAGGGTTCCTGTGAACCTTAAGAAATATAACATTAGTTTTCTTGATAAATTGTATTCAGCTTATTTTATAAAAAAATATATTTTTTTTTTTTGCTTTTCCTTATGCATTCTTTGTTCCCATGACTAGTTTCTTTTAGTATTTAATCCCGTTTATGCATTCCTCTGCATTTCCCTTGGAAACGTTCTTTATGCATATGCAAATTAGTCTTCACATTTGTCGATACCCGCTTGCCTTTCAAGGGGTTAGTATTGTCTTCTTCTCTTCATACTTGTACTTCATCCACCACTGTCTTGAGCAAATGATTTTAAGACTTATATGCATAGTAGTTATATGTTTTTTGCTTACATTGAAAATTCTTGAAAAAATCGAAAACAATATTTAATTGGGTCTCTTTTCGGTATGCTTATCCACTAAGCTAAATTTTATGCTAGATCCATAGCCTTTTTTTTATGTGACCTATAGGACCATACATATGTGAAGTTTTTTAAACTCTTCCAACTTGGGCCTATTTTTAAAGAAGGGCTAAGATCGAGTATAACCCAAAGTTTTGGATTTTCGAAATTTTCAAAAATCACTTCATTTTAGGTATTGCAAAACTTTATTTTATTTTTATCATTATTCGACGAAATTGTACACATCAAATTGCACTTATACAAAGGTGGTCAAAAGTATTCACGTAACGGAACTTTTTGCACATTCCGTCCGTCTGTCCGTCCGTCCGTGCAAGCTGTAACTTGAGTAAAAATTGAGATATCATGATGAAACTTGGTACACGTATTTCTTGGCTCCATAAGAAGGTTAAGTTTGAAGATGGGCAAAATCGGCCCACTGCCACGCCCACAAAATGGCGGAAACCGAAAACCTATACAGTGTCATAACTAAGCCATAAATAAAGATATTAAAATGAAATTTGGCACAAAGGATCGCATTAGCGGGGGGCATATTTGGACGTAATTTTTTTGGTAAAGTGGGCATGGCCCCTCCAACTACTAACTTTTTTGTACATATCTCGAAAACTACTTTATCTATGTCAACCAAACTGTATAGAGTCGTTTCTTTTAGGTATTTCCATATACAGTTCAAAAATGGAAGAAATCGGATAATAACCACGCCCACCTCCCATACAAAGGTTATGTTAAAAATCACTAAAAGTGCGTTAACCGACTAACAAAAAACGTCAGGAACACTAAATTTTACGAAGGAACTGTCAGAAGGAAGCTGCATCCAGGCTTTTTTTTTAATTGAAAATGGGCGTGGCGTCACTCACTTATGGACCAAAAACCATATCTCAGGAAGTACTCGACCGATTTCAAATAAATTCCGTATATAATATTTTCTTAACACCCTGAGACATGTACCAAATATGGGTGAAATCGGTTCACAACCACGCCTGAAATCTCGGTTAACACTTTATCATGCGAGAGTATAAAATGTTCGGTGACACCCGAACTTAGCTCTTCCTTACTTGTTTTTGTTTTGCGAAGCCCTCAGCGCTCGGAGAGCTGAGCGGCGTTTCTGCTTCGTAGTTAGTAAATTGCTACAAAGTTTCAAAGGAAATGGTTTAGTTAAAAAGAATTATAATAATAACGGCTTGGACAATTTAAAGATGACCGGTAATGAGTCAAAGAGAATGTCGCAAATTAATAGGGACAGTTCTACAAAATCCCACAATAAGTCTCGTTAGGGTTGAAGCTGCATTGAATCAACTTATTGGTAAAGATCAGTGGTGTTACATTTCGCCGGGGATTAAAATAATTTAATATAAACCCTTACTTTATTCGAAAAGCGGTCGACATACATATCTGAAATTAAGAAACTCTCATTTGGTTTGGAGTAAATCCAAAAGCCAATATAGTTTTGGTACAATGTATTTTGGACAGATGACGTCGCATTTCAGTTCCAGGGCTCGTTTAGTAAACAATTTATGTGGTAATTCCACGTGATGCAGTGCACCCGCTAAATATATTCATAGGTGGAACGGTGGTCAATAGAGGGCACTTTAAATCAGTCCGGGTATACCAAAATTTGAAACGACAATGCCACTGAATCGTTCAATCAGCCTTTTCAAGTGTCTACTGGATTTTACATCGCGACAACGCTCCATGTAATAGAGGATGTTTACCTACGAAAATTTTAATTGAAACAAAGCAAGTTATACTTCCATGATCTCTGCAGAGGCGAGAGAGAGAAAATGCTTGGGCATTCATCAAAGGTTAGCGGACGATTGATAAAGACCGAAAACGTAATGATACAATTGCTGAAATATCCGAAATTTGGTACAAATCGACATTTGATACTGAACTTTATTTAGTTGAATCAATTTCAAGCAGATTACAGACAATTATTGATGCTCAAGGCGATGTAACCAATTTTTAATTCACAACCGTAGTACAGTAAGTTAGGTTAAATAACAAAATTTAAAAATTACCGATAATAAACACAAGAAACTAAATTTGAGTTTTGCGTTAATACTTTTGACTACCGTTAATCATCAGGTCTTTTTTACCAAATTGACTTCAGTCGCTTCAGCACAGATTAAGGTCTAAAGCAACATATAATTTTTTTTGCAGAACAACAACAACGACAGCAAGAAAAACGATTTCTGTAGAATGACACCCTCTGTATCTAACTTAACCTATATTTTATATCACCACTTAGTTGTATATATTAAATTAAGAGTATATTAAAGTTTCGAATTTAGACCGATTTCATGCATATTCAGCTGGTGGATAAGATTTCTTTATAGCATCGCAAATATTTACCAAAATTAACTGTTTAACGATTTAACCGATTTTTGACAAAAAGGAACATTATTATTAGGAAAAGATGCTCTCTGGTAAAGGGCTAGCCATAAGCACTATACGCATATATTCAGTATGTGAGGTCTCGAAAAGCTATGTTATGAATTCAACAATTTTTTAACATGATTATGACTCATTTTCGCTATTAGTGCAAAAATGTATTTCGATACAGTCATGCGCTAACATGAAATAAAAGAATCAGATGGAGTACAAAATTGTTGTATATGAGAAGTTGGTGTGGTTATATTCTGTTTTTAACTATTTTCGCACTGTAACCCACTATAGGAATGACAGGGTAGGATTATGCACTAAATTTGTTTGCAATTTGTCGTGCAGTTTCATAGGTACTCGTATATGACTTCACCTAAGGTGGGCGGGGCAATTGTCCAAATTTAACATCGGCCTACATTTATCATGTATGACATGTAATTTAATGCATTTGGGATATTTATTTAGAGTTATTGCACTTTTAGTAGTTTTCAACATAATCAATGTGGTGACAAAAGGATTCCTTTTGGATTCGGCGAGCCCTGGTCACCCGGTTAGGCCAGGGATTGGAACCATGTCGGAGAATGTCATCAATCGAATACAATTCCACAGACTTATTGACATTAAATAATGTTTTCGAATGAAATGTTTAGTGTTGATTAAAAATACTAAATATTAGAAATCAAATAAAATAATATTTTTAATTGGGCATAAGCTAATAGTTTTAGAGTGCCTCTTGAGCGTGAATCAGCACCCCAACGTAATAAAAATTGTTGTTGCATATTTTTCGTAAAAAGTGAAGCATGCTTATTTTCCTCGGAGTCTGTAACATTTTCCCAATTTAATTGTGATTTAAATCTTATGCTCCAGCTGTTGCCTCCCTATGGCACTTCAATCCCCTTTCGCTTACCACAAAATACAATAGTTCATGGTTGTCTTATCCTTTTTAAATCACATCGCGATCGCTTTGTTGACTTAAGCTGCCACAAGCACATTTCTGTAAAGATTTCTTGCATACATACAATGGAAATTACTTTCACCCGCGCTTTTCACGCTACGCCTGCAAGATTGCTGATAAGAATGGTGCCACATGCCTCTGATGTGGTGCCGGATTTCTTTAGTTTTCATTTATAAGTTTCTTTTCTTCAAATTTATTTTATTATTTAAATTCGTAACAGCTGTTGCCGCTAATGGTTTTCAAGCCAAAACGACTTTACATATTTAGGCGGGCATTATGGTTTTCCTCTAAGAGAACATATGACTCTTGTAAGGATGGAACGAAAGGATTAAAGCTAGTATTTACATAAAGATAATAGATGTATACATACAAACATACATGCAAGAACGTATTAATGTGCAGCTATGCGTGATTTCTCACACAACTTGCACTCACACATAGAGCTAATACGAAGATCTCAGAGTTCATTAAGAGGTTGTAAATCAGCGAAGGCAAAATTCTCAATAACTCAAGTATGTCAATGGGTGGTCGCAAAATTTTCGCCAAATATTGTGAAGATTAGCATATTTCAACATGTAAATTATCTGCATTCAACACTTAAAATCGCATTTGCATTAAATTTTTGCATACATCAAAAAGGAAAATTGCATTCCGATGGGCAAAGTGAACATTATCAATACCGGGGCGCTTTGTAAAGCCTCTCACAAACACAAGTTTTCTCAAAACAAGACACCCCTAAGTGGATAAAGTGGATATGTATACAGCTAAGTTTGCATTATTGCCAACAAAGCACACGTGACAATGCATTTTGAATTGCGTGCGATCATCTCCGAGCCCTTCACGTACACACACATACAATATTTGCAATATATGCCTACCCTTACTTCCGACTGCACTTCCACTTTCGTTTGCTAAATATTATTATTATCGAAATTTATTGACATTTGATGAGAGCAAAGAATGGCAAATACAAATGTATGCTAGTGAAGGGGAGTTTTGGCAATACGATCTCTTTTTACATTGTTTTATGTTGCCTGCATAGGGTTGTTGTCGCAAGTCAACAAGCATCTCAGCGCGCTCGCGCATCGAGGGCTTCGTGTGCCCGCACAAAGGCGCTCGTAAGTCAGCCACAAAGGCAGACAATCGTAATAATCGGGATAATAGTTGGTGCATCAATATTTGCCTTCGACAGAGATATCATCGCTGATCACTGCGATCAATGTTGGCAAAATATCATCAATACTTAATTGTGTTACGTTTGTAATCGAACAGCATTGAATGGCATTCACATGGCGATAGAATGGAAAGCGAGCGTACTGAATTATGACGAAATTGAGATATAAATGTGAGCAATTAAAATGATTGGCGTACAATAGAGGGTAGTTGGGTTGAATGAGACGTTTATTTGTAGAAGAGAAATCATAAGTGTAAGCGATCAATCAAATGTTTTCAAACAATTTAATACTCATTTCTAATATGCGTTCTTATTCAAATAAAGTATTTGTGTTTAATTTTTGGAGTTCACCTTTCAATATGTAGACAAGCAGTGGAAAGTGTTACCAGAAGCAAGCAACTTCACTTCTACTGGATTCCACGCCACAAAGGAATCGATGACAATGAATTAGTAGAAGGGATTACCAAGATTGGTGTGCAGCTAACATCTGAAACGTGATTTACATTGGGAAACCCATGCATTGTCTATACGATGATCTGGACAGAAGCATGGTAAAGAAAATCAAAACTCGTTAAAACAACTGCAAAAGTCATGTGCAAAACGGTAGGTCGGAAGTACACAAAATTGCTGTTGGCAATCAATATAAGAAACAATAGGAACATGATGGTTATCCTAACTGGTCACTGTCTGCTAGCGACATACGTCCGCATGATATGGCTGACAGATCGAGAAGACTGCAGGAAATGTCTACAGCAAGACACCGGGGAAACAATGGTTCACTTCTTATGCACTTATCTCGTATTGGTAAGACATCTGGGGTCCCCACGGTATGATACACTGGAAGAGGTACTGATGGAGAGACCACAGAGTTTGTTAAAATTCGCTTGAAGCATAGGCATCCTCGGACTCTTCAGATGTCGTCATCGCCCTCATATAAAGTACCATCACTGAGTACTAAATTAAGATATACAATTTTAATTTGCCACAAGGGATGGCAGTAGCAAGTGGCATCTGTGGGCAAAAGGTTTTGGAAACGTGGGTTTGTCCTCTCCTGCTAATAAGCTTAATTTACTGATCTCCCTATAAGGCTATAGCTACGCTTAGCGCAAATACTATAAAAACTCCTACCAACATCGTGAAGGTGGATGTATTAGATTTATAATTAAAATTCAGATTGTATGTATGTGTGCTATAAATGGATTGAACCGAGCATATATCGGCCAATATGTTAGTTATCTTAATAAAATTTACTCATAATAGTATATTTTTTTGCCTAAAATAGATGAAATTGGCGAAAATGATTTAGCCCCTATATAAGTAATGTCAAGATTTACGAACAGCTGGCTGAATTTACTCCATATGAGTGGTGATAGTCTGTAAGGTACCGTAATGAATCTCAGGGAACCTTTTTTTTTGCATGTGTAGTATTGACAAAAGTACATAAAATCGGTTGGATACTACCCGCAACTTCCATATAATACATAAGACTTGAATAATGATTTTTGTTTTCCCAAACAACCCTATGTCGAATATACATATAGTGTAGCCCTGTGTATGACTTATATATGYATGTATATAAACTTATATTTATATAATTGCTTGGACTCCGAAACTCTAGAAGATGTTTTGCACCTTATAGTATTTCCTTGGCTAGTTGTAAGTATACGAAATGTTCGGTTACATTCGAAGGTATTTCTTCCTTACTTGCTTGAGGATCAATTTTAATTATACTATACATATCTTCAATAAAAAATTAATAGGTTTACAGTTTTTCAAGAGCTATTTATTTTATTTATTTATTTAAAGGCAGTTGTGTTTTGTGTTAGTTTAAAAAGTGCAAGTTATTATTATATAATTTCTTATTTTTCTATATTTAAACGATAGATTATAAATTACTAAATCTATAAGAATTGCACGATTTCATAAAAATTGTAGTTTTCTTCCGGTTTGTGTGTACTTTTCATTCATTTCACACAACAACTAAATTACATCTAGATAACCCTATCTTGTTCTCGCTTGCTGATAGCTTCTTTCCCTTTATATAATATTTACATTTCCGGGGTATTCGCCTCTCTCTTCAAACTCAACGCCTCATTAAGCGTTGGACTCAACGCCAGCGCGGGGTTCGCCACCGCAATGATATGTCCACCGGCTGCTGAAATGACTTGCACACCGCCGAGTGGTGAACTGCTCAGCATGCCAACAGCGGCATCGGTTGTGGGACAGCTCATAATTTTTAATTGGTTGCGCTGCTGGTGACTCGGTGAAGATTTAATGTGATTTGAAGTGTCTAAAAGCTCTTGGCCACTGTGTACAGCTGTGCTGGAAATCACATTGGGCGTAAAGGACGTTAAACTCTTGAACTTCATCGCCTCGGGCAAGTCGCGCTCATTATCGAGTGAACTGGGCTATATGTTCAAGAAGTGGCAAATATAAGAGAAAAACGAAAAATAAATAAGTTAAGTTAGGAATATTGTGAAATTGTAGAGAGAGAACTTATAGTAAATTTTAAGATCTCATAAATGTTGTTTGCAGGGGTCTGCTGAAAGTTTGGTAAGTCAATAATTGAAGATTTTGACACATCTTTAATTTCGTAACTATACTAGGCATTTTAAGTCGTATTAATCGTTGAGTTTTTCTAAGTGTCATTTTATAAATACTTACAGGCATCGAGGGCGAGCTGGAATTGCTGAAGGAGAGTCGTGAGTCATTATCGTTGTCATCATATTCGCTCTTGCTGAGGCTGTGAAGAAAAATTTTTTTAATTTTGTATATTATGTAATATGTCATTTATAATTTAATAAGTACATTCAAAATAACATACTTACTTGAATTTGCTGATGTCCGTTAGATCGAATGGTGGCTTAGCAAATTTCTGATACATCGCGAAGAGATTGTAACGCGAATCCTCAGTTGATTCCTTTAAGTTGGAAATGCATTAAATTTTTTACGAAGTTTTTTTTTACAAATGTGTATACTGCAAGCACGCACGATTCCAAAGCATAGCAAATAAGTAAAAAGCGTTTTCGGTTTTGTTTTTAAGCATAAAATTTATTGGCAAATTTATGAAGCAACATAATTTAAAACTTTACATTTAAGTTGATAATTAGTTAACTAGCTCAACACAATAAATTAGCTACATTATAAACTAATAAACCAACAAAAGTCAACAAACAACAATTATTATACACCAACAACTGGGTTATTGTATACATAATAAGAAGATTGCGGTTATGTGTGGTATTAATACGAAGAAAGAAACATGAAAATCAAACGGCAACAACTACAGAATTAACGAATAACTAATATTATTACCCTAATGTAGACACATACAGTTAAATAAAGTATGTATATATTGCAATAAAAAATAAAAATAATAATACAGAATTATAAATAAGTTTGCAAGCTTGATCATACGTCAACTATAGTATATATATAGTACTTTTAATTTAAATATATATCATTCCAGATTCTTCTACTGCTTCATTAAATAAATATTTTTTTCATAATATTTCCTAACTAATTCTACAATTACGGTCAACAAGCTAAATAAAATACTCCTCACAACATTACATAAATTACATGTAAATCTATAATTTGCATACTTTTAATATAAAGAATTAAACTCCTCGATATGTCTCTAATATTTCTGTAAATTTTTATCAAAGTGACATATACTACTGATATTTCATTTTTATTTTTGACTCATGTAAATTGGTTGTTCCATTCGACTTGGAGGCAAGTCTTGCTTTATGAAGGGCGGCGAAAACACATTAAGATGTAGTCTAGTCTCTATCCAAGTAGAGCTACTTTTTTCAATACTCTGTTTTTTTTTTTTGCCAGATTACACGTGAGTAGTTTCAAGCTGTCCTTTTATTTTTGTTCATTATTGTTTGGCATTTAATGACGGAATCACTCACGCCTGAACAACGTTTACAAATCGTTCAACTTATGATCCATATAATCGGCCTTCTGAGCGTATTATTCGCAACACCATCCGTAGCTAAGAATGTACACGAAGATCGTGAAGAGTCGACTGAAGCCGCTCGAATTTTCCAAGTGATCTTCCCTTCCAAGCGCTCTATGGGCTCTCGAAAAGTTCTAAGAAGTTCCGAGTTTTGCAAGAAAAATTATGTTCTGCGCATTTGGAACGAAGACCAACCTGAAGAGATTTAAGAGCTGCCATTTCATGCAGAAAAAACAGCGTTTTGGTGTGGTTAGTGGATCGGCGGAATCATCGGTCCATATTTCTTTGAAACTGACACCGGTGCATCAATCAATCAAGGTATTTATTAAAAGAACACTTCGGCTTATCAGATAATTTCACGTCTTGGGCCAGTCGATTGGCCAACAAGATCGTGTGATATCACACTGTTAGATTTTTTCCTGTAGAGATTTTTAAGGTCGAAAGTATATTTGGACAATCCCGCTTCGATTCTCGCGTCATTAGCCAGTTACTAATCGACATGCTCTAACGAGTCATCGAAAATTGGACTCAACGGATGGATCATCTGAGACTTAGCCGCGGCCAACTTTTGAAAGAGATAATCTTCAAAAAATAAACGCCGAAGTATTTTCTTTAGAATGATCATAAACATTCCCCATTAAACTTGAAGTTTCGGTGTATTTTTTAAGTATAGAACCTCGAAATGGGTCCCCTTTTTTGGCAATGATATACCAGTAACATAAAACTTATACTAAATATGTTTATTAACTAATTTACAGCTATTCCATAAACAAAAGTTCATTTACTGACTATCTGAAACTTTAGCAGTGATAATAATAATAATCAGTATAATATAAATTAAATTAAAACTATTCACCAAAACTACTACACACTTAAATAATGCAACCATTCCACATACAGTTAGTAATTTAATAATACTTTTTAAATGTTTCAATACTTTGGTTAATACTGTGTAAATTCCAATCATCTGTGTTCCACTACAATTTTACTTATGTGAGCATACTTTTCTAATAACAAATTTTCAGGTTATCTTAGTTGAGGTCAGCAACATATGCAGGGATATGTTTATACCACCATCGCAAGTATGTCATATTATATTGATGTTTTGAAAGGAAATGGAACTGAAAACAAGACTCTCTTAAATGGAGAAGTTCTTTTCTTGAAATTTGTCTTTGGCTTCTAATACACGGTTTCCCATTATACATGAAGCAATACAAGAATTTGAGGCCGCTGTTAAACTTTCGTTCCACTAAAATTTTTTTGGAGTCTGGTAAACATTTTCACAAACAAAATGCTTAAGCTGACCAAACAGAATGGTAAAAACGAGAAAAAGAAAACATATTCTCATTTTCCTGAAGTATCACTTTTGTAGTACCACGAATTCAAATTTTAGAAGGTTTACCTACGATATTGAACTACTTGCAACCAGCATCTCCATATTATGTTTAAACAGATTCTATTACTCAATCGTTTTCGAAATCTTTATAAAAATTTATACGCGTATCTCTTAATTCAGAATCATAGTAGAATTCGAACGAAGCCCATAACCCTAAATAATATACTGCAGGTACTCCGTCTCAAAGCATTCTCCACCACATTTGCAATCACAAGCTGAAGCTAAAGCGTGTCAAAAAGCAAAAGAAGCAATATTGATTAAATTTTTTGTAAATATAACACAGCAATAGGCGTAAGCATTTTCGTACAGTTCAGAGCGTTATTTGCTTACCCGACTCAGACCCAAATCGGTTGGCGTTATGGCGTTCGTTGTCTCAGTAGAGACCAAACGTGTACGCTTACTGGACGCCGAAGCTGTCGAATCACTAGACTCACAATCCAGGACGGCGGCGGAACGTGTCATGGCCTGTTGTGCTTGCATTACTTGCGGCAAAAGAGCGCCATAACGCGCTATGCTCGCCGAGTGACCAAAACCAGCATCTTTGACGATTTGACGCGCCAATGGAAAGAGCTCGTCACGACGTGTCAATAGAGCTGGCACTAAGCGACACAGTTGAGCCGCCGCCTCATTCACACAAACTTCGTGCAGCGTGAGCGGTTTTTCTGGCCGGCGCTTACAATCGAAGCGCCCATAAATCGCTGAGTACTTGCGAATTTCATCCATGCGACGTGGATCATTCTCATGCATGGCGATGACTTGTTCGAGCTCGCGGCTGGTACGCTTCTTCGAGGTGTGTGCGCGTGGTTCGCGTTGCGGCAATTGACGCGCGATTTTCTCAGCGCCTTGTGTTATGCGCGCCACTTGCATTTCGGTGAGTACGGGTGTAAGTTGTGGCGAGCTGGACGAGACTTGGTGTGTGGTACCCGCTGTGGTGCTGCCACCAGTGGCGGCTCCTAATGTGGGCGGTACGACTGGTGTAGCGGCAGCAGGAAGCGTAGCTGCCGGAAGAGGTAGCGGAGTATGTGGTTGTATGGCAGGCATTGGAATAACAGGTTGACAAATTTGTGAAATCAAATGGGAGGATGTGGTAGCGAGTGGTGTGGGGTTAAAGGCGGATGGTGTGGGATTGTAGGTGGGAAATGCTGTGCGTGCAAACGAAGGTGATACGTCGTGTTTCATATGTAACGCAGTTGATTTGGTTGGTGTGTCGAAGAGTCCTGCGGGGAAAGTAAAAGTTCTTTTTAGCAAGTTGTTGGAAATATTTTGAGTGTCTGAACTTACCAGGTGTGCTGGAGGTGGATGTTATGGGACCCTGAAATAGCGTGGGATTATTGGCCCACTCATGTAATGCTTTTTGCAGTCGACGTACATGCAAGGGCTTCGAGGCCATACCTACTAAAGCCATGATTTCGAGGAACTCTTCTTCGCCCGCTTCGTAAAGTTGCTGTACGTCATCCCCACCCATTTCCAACAGTGTGTCGTAGTAGACGAGTAGACTCGCGCGTTGTAGCACGCGATAAAGCTGCGTTTCGGCCTCATTATTGGGGCGAGATGTGGCGACCACTGTAACGAAAAAGAAAGAATGTAAGTTTAGTTGAATAAAATTGGGGGCATAATTAGTTAGATCTAAGTTTGGAAAGTGGTATTAATAAAACTTTTCATATACTTTGATTTTCAAGCACAATTGTTTCTGGATGTATCTTTACAACATAAGAAGAAAGGTAATAACTAGGATACCTTTCGAACAGCTACAAAAGTAATTATATATGAGCACCTTATGTATCATTAATGGAAAAGAATAGAAATGAAAGCGAATTATTAATTAAAGTTTTACTTTTAGTGGCTTGTAGGAATAGATAAATGAACCCTGAGAATTTTGTTTCAAATTTCGCAATGCGCCTAAATGTAGGCAACGCTTTTTCCTGTTTTGTCAAAGTAGACGTTCAAAAAAACACGTTAGAATATACTCATTTAAAACTGAAAATAGCATAGTTTTATATTTGATTGTTGCGATTTAACATTCATTATACTTTTTCTTTTTTTCAGTAAACGGTATAACAACAAAAATATGTAAATTTTTCCTGCTAATAGGTAGTAAATAATACCTTCACGAATTAAAACAAAAAATCAATTAATTTTAAATCCTTTAGCCCTACATTTCATGCATTCATTCTTCTCATATTAATCGCTGTCGCACATATTAAAAAAAAAACATGTTTTTTGCCTCAAAAAGCGACGTAAAAATAACTCTTGTCAGCGCAAATGGGATTCTCCGTACATTAATGAGATTCCCACAACACTTTCGAAGTCATAAGAAAAAAACTCCAGCAAAGCCAGTATCGAGCTAAACTTGGTAGGCAATATTAAAAATAAAAACAACAAAAAGCCTTTTTTCTGATAAGCAAAAAACAGGACTCAACCAACATGACGCCCGACGTACATATGTGGACCATAACCCTTTTTCAAAACAAGCTAAAGACGACCATAGCAAAAAAAAGGACACGTAAAAAAATCCCCCAAAAATGAAATGCCAGACAAGGCAGGCCAGGCCAGACCAGACAGACCATACCCGACCAACCCAGACTTAGCTGCGTGCAGCATAAAAAACTGCCAAAGCGTACGATTACGCTGCGCCGCTACCTTTACTGCCGCAAAACAATCTGCATAAGGAAATGGGTTGTGCAATGTGCATAAAAAACACATACATATTTACGTAGGAGCATTCAAGTTGCTATGTAGTTTGTGTGTATGCAAAGCGTAAGCACATCAACAATATGCGCACTGCGTTGCGCTTACGCAGAATCGCTCAACCCGTTCTATGCAAAGCGGTGGATGATTGAGCGTTGCGGCTGCGCGTTTCATTCAAATTTCGTCAGCAACACCACCGCGAAGGTGAGCGCACACAATAAGCCGCAAAAGCAAAAAAGAAAAAATAAAAATAAAAAAATTTGATAAAAAGGATCATCAGCAGCACTGCTCGTTAGATACGCATGCCGAAGAAGCACGCGGAGTGATAATCTTAGAGGGGCGAAGCGTCGCAGCAAGAAGGACGATGTTTGTATTTTCGATTTTTTCTGTGTTTTTTTCAACACTTTCGATATTTTTTTTCATAGTAAAAGCAAGAAAAAATTGCTTGCATATTCAAATTAAGCGTGTGAAATATTGAAGATGCTGTGCCGTTTGATCAAAGTGATTTGAGCAAATAATAAAAAGTGAAATGATAGGAAAAAAAACTCTTTAATATGTGGGAATTATTTAGAAATGAGTTGGGAGAATAGCAGGACTGTTTCTTATTTTTTATGTGTGTATGATATATGGTGATGGACTTTATGCGAAGTGAGAAGATAGCGAAATATTTTTTATATTCTCGAAATTTTGTCTAGTAGCGATTACGAACTTAAGAGACTTGACAACCATATCGTCTAATTTATAGCAGTCTAATTTATAGCAGATGTGCGCTTTACAAAGTTCTATGTGGTTTCCGATTACTTCTACAGTCGATTGTTTCAATATTTATACGAAGTTTAGTTTAAGGCTAATGATTAATTCCAGATAGTGCCGGAATTGTTGCATACTGCAAAGGTGAATAGCTCGTAAGAAGCGGCACCCTTGTTCCACTGACATTGGAGTGGGAACGAGCTGGATCCGGTCCATCCTGCGTTTCAGCACTGGTTTTATGGACCTCGCGTGAGCTTAGAAAATGTTGGTCGATTACCAACACCTGTGCTACTATGAGATCCTTTTGGCCTAGAGTAGAACGCATATGATCTAATATTGGTTAATCGAAAAAGTCTTTTCGCATTTCTAATTAAACTTCAACAAACAAATATGTACAATTTTGGTTGCCCGCTTTTTGCCATTTTCCTTTAGAGACATTTTTCAGCAGTGTAAATCGAAATTTCGATATTTCCAGAACGGAAGCGAGCGGACCATTGTTGTGCTACACGAACTGATAACAGCATCGTCCCGTAAACTTCACAAATTTTATTGGTAGCCTTCCTTTTTATAAACAAATTTCAAAATATAGCGAATTGCTTCAATATTTTCACTCATTTTAAGCATCTGTTACTTTTTTTCAACTTCTCCGAATTTAATTTTTTTTTAATGAAGCTTAAGATCTCACTTTTTTAACACTATTTAGTATGACACAATAAGATTGGTTGTACTGGAGATCTGCGACTGCAACGATACCTATTGACAAAATACGAAAATACTTTTTCGACTACCCAATATTATAGAGTTTCTCAGCTTAAAAAATCAATAATTTGTGATTGTGTTATCAAACGTTATTAAATTGTGGAGTTTAAACAAATATTTCCTCATTGAGAGTATGGCTTGGAGTAGAACGAAATAGATTCACTGAAATATTTGCTCTTATCTTGCCGTAATCGTAAATTTCTTACTAGGTATTTTCCAACAGGCAGCCAAGTTTTTGAGCAAATGATTTTATCGGACGCATATTCCAAAACTCCAAAAACAGTTCCGATCAAGGTGGACTAATTTAATATGGATGTAATTTTTCGTTCAAGTTTTTATCCGAAAGCTTTTGTGTGCGGATCTACAACCATAAAAGAGAAATACTTCAATAACTTTGACCCTCTACAAATTAAATTATCGATACTAAGCTTCCTTTGCTTAAATCCTTAAAAGTATTTTCCTTCGAGTAAAGTCTAATTTTGTTGACCTCCTTGGATACTCTAGGCTTTAACCCACAAAAAGAAACAAGTGCATGTAGCATCATCACCCTCCATCGCAAATATATACATGTGTATATGTATGTATGTATGTACACATAAAGTCATATTTATGCATGCGTAAAAAACTGCAACTCAGCGCCGTGTAGAAAACACAAATCACCTAGTCGCCATTTAAGTATGTTCATTATCGATTGCGATCGTTATGGGTAGCCATGTGCCACTCAATTGTTGTGGTTGTTGCTGTTGTGCGATTGTTGATGCTAACGATAATGTCAGTTGAACGAACGCTAAGTATTGGTATTAGCGCACTAAAAACAAAAACATAAACATACACTTACACACATGCATATACATATATGTATATGTATATAAAAGTACATGTGTATGCAAAAAGTGCAAGAAGCGCAAAGAAAAAGCCTTATAAATATAAGCAAAATCAAGTGATTGAAGGGCCATGAGTGAGGCGCTGACGAACGAACAGGCGCGTAATGTTGATGCAGCGAAAAGTGAAAATGTCGCACAACAAAAACACCAATGCAAGCAAGCAAATGAATTGAAATAAAATACAAATAATGGCAATGCTGCATGATAATGTGAAATCGTAAATAATTATGTGAGAACATATATTTTTGTGCGTGCGCACGGCCATAAAATGCGGCAGCGAAGCAGTATGCAAGAGACAGCTACAAAAGACAAAAGACGGTGGTAGGCAGAAGTGAGGTTAGATCGAGCGCCGTATGGCCCACGCTTACGGCGGTGTCAGCGAGGTGGTAAGTCACAGCCAGTCTTGTGTGCTGCTGTTGCAGTGGCGCAGTTGTTGCGCTAGTGGGGCAAAGCTTTGTGCGCACAACTCGAATATTGTTGCACGAACTGTCGCCGATGCGGCAATTACTGCCGCCAACAGCTAACACGGACTTGTGCATAAGCTGCCGGACTTGGTTAGTTAGCGAGTATCTGTGCATGTGCGCGTGCAGTCAGCCAGCGTTGCACCCGCCACGCAAGCGTTCTGACAGCAACGGTAGTTGTTGTCTTTGGTGTTGCTCTTCCTGCTGCCACTGTTGCCACGCCGCCCTGTTGTTGGTAGCACTCGCCGGTTGGTGCTGATCGTCAACATCGGCACGGCCGTCAGCCAGCCAACTTGCTGGACATTAACAATATAACACGGCTATAGCGCAAAACAACAACAACTGCAATGTCTGCTGATAGGCCCATTTTTTGCTAGTTGTCATTTGTTTCTGCTCAAATTATTGTTGCAAAAAATTATAATTAGTAAGGCTTGGTGCGGTAGGTGGGGGAGTGGCAGGCTGCTTATATGTTGCCTTGAACGCCACAACATTTCCCCTCACCGCGTGCGATGAGTGTGCAATGACACACTAATACATGCATACATATAAACTGTTGCAATGATTTCTTTGGTGCGTTGAGTTTCGCTGTGTTTGTTGTTATCCGCCGTGTGGCACAACACAGCACAGCAGTAAAGCAAACTGTTGCACACTCTGAGGTATTAATGATAGCAGCGCTGATAAAATGTATGATGTGCTGAGAACGAGAGAAAGACACAGTTAACATAAGCGTTAACAAGCGGTGATAATATTAACCCTTATGTTGGGGTAAAGGCCTAAAATGCCCTACCAAACTTCGTAAGTAGTTGCAGCTAATCAGAGACGTACAATTTTAAAATTAGATTGGGTATAAATGGTCCATGTATCAAACCGTTAATAAACAGCTGTGAGTGTTTTTAATTAATAATAACGCTTAATTGGTTAAAACTTTCTTTTCGAAGTACAGAGAAGCTCACCAACCATCAAAAATATACATATTCGTACCCCGTCTGGACTCTTTGCATTTATCGACGGCCGTCAAAAA